TTTCAGAAAGACTAATATAATTGTTCTTCAGATGGTAGTTACTTCAAGTTAAGACATGGAACATAATTCCTTTTTCAGGTTTTTCACGAAAGAGAATGTGAACAGGGAAATCTGAAGAACAAACTTTTTCTTAAGAAATTATAAATAGGCACTAATATATACTATTTGAGAAAAATGTAGTTACTGTAGTAATAAAGGTTTTAACAGCCAGCTAATTCAAAGCATCAGAAAACTTTACACCCTGGATCTTTCTATATATTACCCAGCAGATTCTACCCAAAGAATTTTCTTAGAATTGAAGTCCATATTCTGATGAGGCCTAAAGCTAAGTTATGGTTAAAATAAGCAAGGATTAAATATAGTGCCACTCCTTACTTTAACCAGAAAATAGCTTCAGGTCTGAGCAGAATATGAACTTTAATAAAAGTGTTTGGGTAAAAGTTCTCTGGGGTTTGATGGAGATAGATAGATAATTTATAATAATATGGGTGCAGTATATGTTATGTTTTTAAAAAAGATTTATTTATTTATTTTAGAGCACACAAGCAGGGGGAGGGGCAAAAGGAGAGGGAGAGAAACTCAAGCAGACTCCCTGCTGAGCACAGAGCCTGATGCGGAGCTTGATCTCACCACCCTGAGATGACCTGAGCCAAAATCAAGAGTTGGCTGTTTAACCGAATAAGCCACCCAGGCACCCCATATTGTTACGTATAACACACAGACACACTAATATAATGGAACAGTTAAGATCTGTGTGTTTCATTGTATGTATATTTGGGAGGGAGTGGAATATTGTAAACAAATATTAAACTGTAGTTAATGCTATGCATGCTAAAGTGGTTTAAAGGGGTGAAGTGTATGGATGTCTGCTACTCAATATAAAATGGATTGATAGAAGGATTTGTTGATAGATACATGATAAAGCAATTACTATAAAACAATTGTAAAATCTAGGTAATGGTTATGTGGATATTTACTGTACAATTCTTACAACGTTTTTGTATATTTGAAATTTTGCATAATAAAAAGTTGGAAAAAATAGTGTTAATGATAAGGTACTTAAGTCTACATAGGTCTAGTTTGGTACAGTCAACAATTATTGACACCTACAGTATGCCAAAGTGCTATAACTGGTATTAGGATTATATGATAGTGAAATGACTCAGACAGTCTTAGGTGGTGAGTAGCAGGAGATGAAATTGGGGAGAAAGGCATATTAGGTAACAGAGAGTTTTATATACCATAATAAAAAGCTTAGACTTTATCCTATGGCATTTTAGGCAGGGGAATGATAGGTAGATCACTCTCACAGCTTTGTGGAGGCGAGATTTGAGGTAGTGGTGGCAGTGGTGGGGCTAGACTAAAGATGAGGATATTAATTAGGAAGTCGTATTCCAGATGCAGATGATTAAAACCTGAATTATAGCAGGGCTAGATTCTAGAAATATGTAGGAGCAATAATCAATAGAGCAATAATTAATAGAATAGATTCGTTTTATTAGTTGTGAGTAGGTTATAGGGAATCAAGGGTGACAAATACCATGTAAGAGAAGGAGCACGTTTGGGTCTGGAGGGTAAAACAGTAAATTTGGTTTTGGATATGTTATGTTTCAGATACTGTTAAAATAACCATAGATGAAATCATTCATGCTACACCCCACATCAGCAAAGCAGAACCTAACTAAGTTTCTGTGCGTGGCCTTCCCAGAAAAGGAAGGCCTAGGTCAACTAGTTAGTGCTTGCCTACTTACACAAGTTACCTAACCCTGCTCCAAAACTTCCCTTTGCTTCATATAAGGAAAGTAACCCTACTTTAACCAATTAGCAAATGCCCAGAATAACTTCCTTGTTCCTGCTCACTTTACGCTGTAAATATCTCTTGCCTTGGGGCACCTACGTGGCTCAGTCAGTTGAATGTTCGACTGGGTTTCAGCTCAGGTTGTGATCTCATGGGTCCTGGGATTGAGCCCTGAGTCAGGCTCAGCACTCATAGGAGAGTCTGTTTGAAGAGTCTCTCCCTCTGCCCCTCCCCCTACTCATGCTCACTCTCTCTCTCTCTGAAATAAATTAATTTAAAGCAATCTCTTGCCTTGTACAGTTTTTTGGACTTCCTTTCTTTTTTTTAATATTTATTTATTCAGAGAGACACAGAGAGAAAGAGCAGAGGGAGAAGCAGGGAGCCCAATATGGGACTCAATCCCAGGACCCTGAGATCAGGACCTGAGCCGAAGGCAGATGCTTGACCAACTGAGCCATCCAGGTGCCCCTGGACTTCCTTTCTATCTACCAGATTGGATGCTGCCTGATTCATGAATCATCTGAATAAAAGCTTACTAGGTCAGTAAATTGTCTGTAGAAATTTTTCTTTTAACAGATATTATCTCCTCAAAGCGATATTTATTCATTCATTTGTATTTAATGGTATTTGACAAATACTACTACAGAATTCCATACCTGCTGCTAATAAGATGGTGGGCAAAAGGGACACAAATATTGCCTTTAAGAACCTTACAGTATAGTGGGAGAGAGAATTAAACCAGAAGGTATAATAAAAAGTGACATTTATGGTGGTAGGAGAAGCACAGGATGCTATGGAACTTCACAGAGGGGACAACTAACAGTCTGGCAGTGGCTCTGCAGGAACAAGATATATCAGTCTGAAACTTGGGATGGAGTCTGGGCTGGATACAGCAATTATGACTCTCTGCTACTGATTCCTGAGAGTTGATAAAAATGTCAACGGATAATAGTATAGAATTGTTAAAGAAAAATGAAGGGGGTGGAAATTGGAGGGGGAGATGAATCATGAGAGACTATGGACTCTGAGAAACAAACTGAGGGTTTTAGAGGGGAGGGAGGGTGGGGGGATGAGTTAGCCTGGTGATGGGTATTAAAGAGGGCATGTTCTGCATGGAGCACTGGGTGTTATACACAAACAATGAATCATGGAACGCGACATCAAAAACTAATGATGTAGGGTGCCTGGGTGGCTCAGATGGTTAAGCATCTGCCTTCAGCTCAGGTCAAGATCCCAGGGTCCTGGGATTGAGCCCCGCATCGGGCTCCCCGCTCGGCGGGAAGCCTGCTTCTCCCTCTCCCTCTACTGTTCCCTGTGCTTGTGCTCTCTCACTCTCTCTGTCAAATAGATAAATAAAATCTTAAAAAAAAAACTAATGATGTAATGTATGGTGATTAACATGACATAATAAAATAAAATTAAAAAAAAACAAAAAAAAATGAAGAAAAGGCTAAAGGCAAGTAAAAAGCCAGAGAAGGAGACAGAAACGAAATAGCAAGGTAGAAGAATTAATTGAGTGTGGTGTAATGGAAACTGAATGTTTCAAAATGAAGAGTGTAGTCAGTAGTGTTAGTATAGAAAGTTCTGATGAGTTAAATAGCAATAATTGGTTTGGCAATTTGGAGGTCATTGGTGACTAAGTGGAAGTAGTTTCAGTTAAGTGATGTTTAGTTAAAAGTAAAAAAATTTTAATATCTTTAAGATATTAAGATATAAAGAGCTACAAGACAAAACACAAGGAAATGAAATAAAACTTTTATCTTAATTTTAAATTGGAAATATCTGTTACATATTTATTAAAAAAAGTTTTATTTGTATTCACTGAAAAAGTCTAAAAGTTAAAAACCCTAGAGAAAATAGTAGAAATGGAGAAATAGTAAGTTCCACATTTAAAGCAGGGAATATATGAGTCTGGGACATCTTGCATAAAAGTAAAGCAGCTGCCAAAGATGAATTGGTCCATATCAAAGGACAAAGGAGCCAACATGGAGAAATTGGCACATCAAAACTGATAATGACTACAGGGGATTGAGACACATCAAGCACCTAAAAATCCATGAGTTCTTAGATTTTAATTTCCCTCTTTCTTTTATTGGGTATATGGAGGTTGCTGGGCCACCAACTCATTACTTTAAACCAGGGATCAGAAAACTATGGCCTATGGCCCCAATCCAGTCCAATCCCTATTGTAAGGCTGTGAGCCAAGCAGAGTTTCATAATGAATCAGTAATCCACTGTGACTTTTTAATAAAATTATGAGATCTTCTCTGACACATAACCTTTTTGAAATTGGTATAATAGGGCATGGATACTTCCTCAAAATGAACTTAGATATGTTTATGGCAGGATATGGAGAGGGTCCTCACATGCATTACTAAAAAATTATACATAAAAATAATAAAAATGAATTGGATGGCCTCGTCACTTTTATAAACCTTTTATCTTTAAACTTTTAATTTTGGTGAAATCTTAGCATTTGCAACTATGTGGATGGAGCTAAAGTGTATTATACTAAGTGAAATAAGTCAAAGACAAATACCATATGATCTCATTCATGTGAAATTTAAGGCAGAAAACAGATGAACATAAGGGAAGGGGGGAAACAAGCCATGAGAAACTCTTGACGATAGAGAACAAACTGAGGGTTGGTAAAAGGGCAGGGGGGGGCGGGGAATGGGCCAGATGGGTGATGGGTATTAAAGAGGACACTTGTGGTGAGCACTGGGTGTTGTATGTAAGTGATTAATCACTGAATTCTACTCCAGAAACCAGTATTGCACTGTATGTTAACTAAGTAAAATTTAAATAAAAAATAAACTTTTAATTTTGGATAGTTTCAAACATAGCAGAGAAAATGGTATATGTAAACTGCTATTTTACCCATTACCCATCTTCATCAATTATCAACTCATGGTAACTTAAATTCATGTATATCCCTCCTTCTTTCTCCCTACTGGATTATAATGAAGCAAATTCCACATACATAATTTCATTTGTACATTCCATTATGTACAATTTTATTTTTCAAAAATAGTATTATAACCTTGGAATACTGAAAAGCTGAATAGTTATTTAGAAAAATGTTTTCCAGTTAATGTATACCAGTAGGCATCCTTTTCTGAGTTCACAATAATCACATATACTGTGCTTTTCTCTTGGAGTCTAATTGTATAATAATAAAGGTTAAGAGGAAGTGTTTTACCTGTTCTATGCAGTCTTCTCTCATTTCTCCTTTAAAAATAAAATATCACAACATTAATTATCTTAACAGAACATTTTCATATAGCCTTAGTAGAAAGAGAAATACTTAAAATAATCCTAATTTAAACAAGTTGAAATACTGAAAACTGAAGAGACAGCAATAGCCAAAACTCAAAAAGTATGAAAGTACCGATGATTCTCATACATAACCTTTAGGGCTGATATCTTCACTGAAGCCAAATGAGTAGACTATGCCTACATTGCTCCTTCTGTTCTTAAAATGATACCTTAAAACTTGCATGGCAAGTAAGTTTCATCTAAGTGCCAATTTTAGTTGATAAGTGGTGGTTACCTACAGAATTGTGCTGAGAACTTTTATAAGGCCTTTTTTTTTCTTCTCAATGGGAAAGAATACTGTGTTTGATTGTGGGTTATTTGCTCTCATAGCAACAAATTACCTGCTGGCTCTGGTTTAGTATATCAAATGACGCTTTTATTTTTTTAAAGATTTTATTTATTTGACAGAGAGAGACACAGCGAGAGAGGGAACACAAGCAGGGGGAGTGGGAGAGGGAGAAGCAGGCTCCCCGCTGAGCAGGGAGCCCGATGTGGGGCTTGAACCCAGGACCCTGGGATCATGACCTGAGCTGAAGGCAGACACTTAACGACTGAGCCACCCAGGCGCCCCTCAAATGATGCCTTTAAAAGAGACATCTTTGCTTAAATTTATAGGCCATTAGGCTGAGAGAAAAGCTATGTGATAGGGCTACAGTCTAATTTCTCATTATTGATAGATATTAGGTAGACATTAATTTACATATTCTCATCCTTGAAACAAGTAATTGTGTATAATTCGTGGGTATTTATAAGTACCAGTTATGTGTTTCTCTTATAGCACTTAGTGCTTGCACGCATATACCACTCATTTGGCACTATGCTTATGTTAACTTATTATTTACTTTATTTATTTAGTCTACCTTCCCAAGTAGATTGTTTTCTAAAGCTTATCAGCAGCATCTTATCATATTCCTCCCTGTAGTCTTAGCACCAAGAAATGCCTTGATGACGACTGTGTTTCTATAAAAATACATGTTACTTGTCTGTCATTAACTCAAAATTACTTGCTATTTTGGGATATTTTTGTGTAGACTGGGATTTTTTTTAGCTATATAGTTCAAAAATTGCATAACACTTCTAATATGATATGGAATCATGCTGTGAAATCTGGATTGTAATGCTTTCATAGGACATCTGAATTTTTAAGATAGTAGATGGCCCTTGTCTTTAGGTAGATAAAAGAATAAATCCTACAGTAAGATAGTTATTCTCTTGAAGATCTCTAGGAATGTAAAAGTTAAGTCTCTCTCAGAAACTTGTTTAACATTCTCTCTTCCCAGTAGTCAATAAATTATTCTTATGACTAAATAAAACTAAAGACAAAAAACAAACCCTACCCTGCTTGAATTTATGTTTTTAAATCTTCCTTAGACTTTAAAAACAGCCCAGGGTACTTTGTATAGTGTTAAATAGAAATTGTTATGTCTGTAATCTTGATATTTTTCAAGCTAAACAACTTTTCAAAGCTATTAAAAGTAGACATCGAGTTTCACCATATTAGTCATTATCAATCTTCCTTGAATCCATGCCAATTTTTTCATGTAAAGGAAATTAACTTTCATGACAGAAGGGTTAAGATCTAAGATCTAGATTCTAGAAGGACATCTAAGGGGATTGGTGTAATGAAGTGATTGCTTCTGACTCTGGTATGTTACAGTCTTTTAAATATATACCACTGCTGTTTATTTTTCTCATAAAAGCCAGTGGTTACTGCTTCATTTAGTTTCTTGTCAACTGTAACAGTCCCCATCTCTTAACTATATTTGTCTTAGTCACGATGAGGGGCCCCATTAGGTAAAGAAAGGACCAGACAGTAAATATTTTAGGCTTTGCAGGCCAAGAGGCAAAACTGAAGATATTAGGTAAGTACTTATATATCAAGAGAGAAAAGTTCTATTAAGTTTTTATTGATAAAATTTAAATTATAATTGAGTATTTTGTGTGGTACACATCTAATGGGAATGTGGGGATAGCATTTAATTTAATTGGGGTTCAAAGTTAGTGTTTTCTCTTATCAAACTCAACTGCAAATGTTCTGTTAATGCTGATCTTGGTATATATTTTGTGTATTTCACCTTTGAAAATGCCCTTTCAAACGGGTAGGTACTACCAAATACTGATACCAGTCTATGAGCAGCATCATATTTTATAGAATTCTGTTAGATTCTTCTCTTGATGTTGGCCTTTTAGCGTGTTATTACATTGCAGATTAATCATTGCTGGTTCTAGGAAGCTCCTCAATTGCACAGTTGATGGATTTTGAAATAGGGAAATTTACTATGCATTTGTATTTAGGTCCGAAAAATGCTGCTGGAATTAGGGGGGCCAGTTCTGATATTCTGGGACTGAGTGGTTTCCCAGGATTTGGGACTCAAAGTGCTAAAATTGGGACTTTGTTACCCTTACTAGGACTTAGTTTGAGATCAGAAAACAGATCTACTTCAGATTTATATGGGAATACAGATCTCATTTCTTTTTTTAATTCTTGACAACTCAACTTCACATTACTTTATAATTCAAACAACATTAATAGCTTTACTTCAGTAAAAATTTCACATATAGTTAGTTTTGCCTTGTAATTTTAGGTTCAGTTCATCAAGAAACATCAAATTTGAAACAAAAGATGATTTCAAAAAGCCATTCAATTTGATAATAGTGGCCAGTTCAGTGGTGGTTCTCATTCAGAAAAATTTCAGTCTCAGCATAGAGCTAAAAAAAAAAAAAAAGCCACTGCTTTTACCCCTGCTAAGTTTTTGAACTTGTGGATAGAAGGGCAAGTCAGGATATTCAGCTTCTGTTTCTGACAAAAATTCACAAAACTGAAAGTGGTGAAACTCACAGGAGTGAATGAAGTTCACCTTTGACATTTTCGGTTCAGTAACATATGACGTATTTACATATTTTCTGCAAAGTAACTGTTGGTTGAGTAATATATTTAAACATCTAAAATTTTTAAATTTTATTTTAAATAATAAATTTAAACACCTTAACTTTTTTAAACACCTTTAAAAATAAAGATTTTATTTATTTATTTGACGGAGAGAGCAAACTCAAGCAGGGGGAGCGGCAGGCAGAGTGAGAGGGAGAAGCAGGCTCCCCAAGGAGCAGGGAGCCTTACGCGGGGCTCAATCCCAGGATCCTGGGACCATGACCTGAGTCCAAGGCAGCAGCTTAATAACTGAGCCACCCAGGTGCCCTTTTAAACACCTTTTTATAAGCTTCATAAATTTGTCTTTTTTCCTCTCCACATATTTATCATAATCAGTTGATTATGCACATCTTAGCAGATTCCACTTTAGGTTGAAATGAATTAGAGTTTTCTCAACTTTGAAAATATTCTTGCCTGAAGTTGTTTTACACAGACTATTCATAGAGGCTAATTCTCCAGTTACTTCAAACTTGGCATTGACTCAAAAAAAAAAAGTTGAACAGTGTACATCTGTTGACCACAGAAAACCACTTTAAATCATCTTCCTTTTTTTGTCTTGTTTTTAAATAAACTATTAATGTTGCTCCCAGTGTCCTCAACTTTTAAGCAAATATACTTGCCCAGTGGCCAAAAGTCTTAAGTTTGTTTTCTCTTGGACACATTTCTTCATCTTCTACAGTCAAACGTGGTTTAATTAACTCATCATCAGTGAATGGCTTTCCTTGCTTGGTTAACAAATGAGCCACTCAGAAACTTACTTTGGTCATACTTCATGTTTATTTTCTGTTAGTGAAGAAATTCTTCTATGATGAGACACTTCTTTGTAAATTTTCTACTTTTTCTCACTGTTGCTTGCCTGTGGGCAGGGGATACTACGATGAGCCCTTTGTTTGGTAATACTGCTGCATATTGGACTGTGCCTCAAAAGTGTGATATTGTAAGTCCAGTTTTCTTTCCTTATTTTGATAAGATGGGTATGCACTGGTAATAAAAATTAAAAGTTGTGGTGTAGCAATATGTGTGGCACTTGCAATGCTGTGCACCTATAACCATGTCACTACAATTGGCGGTGTGCCAAACAGCCAGGTAATGTGCTAATCAGTTCTGTCATTGTAGCATGAAAATAGCCGTAAATAATATGGAAAAGAATAAGCATGGCTCTACTCCAATAAAACTTTATTGGCAGACATTGAAATTGAATTTCGTATAATTTTCATATGTCACAAAATTCTTACTTTTTCGAAAGTCCTTTCGACTTTTTCCAAACCATTTAAAATGTAAAAACCATTCTAGTTGTGGGCTCTAAAAAAACAAGTGACATATGGGCTGTACTTTGTGCATCTCTAGTCTAGATAGCTTTTTTCAAACTATGTAATATTACTTATATTTTTTAACCCTTGCATTCATTTATATCAATTTTCCCTTTTTCATGTTATTTTAAAATTTATTTCTACTTAAATAAAAAAACTGAGTGAGGGCACCTGGGTGGCTCAGTCGTTAAGCGTCTGCCTTCGGCTCAGGTCATGATCCCAGGGTCCTGGGATCAAGCCCCACTTTGGGCTCCCTGCTCAGTGGGAAGTCTGCTTCTCCCTCTCCCACTCCGCCTGCTCTCACTGTCTCTCTCTCCCTCTCTCTCTCTCTCAAATAAGTAAATAAAAATTTTAAAAAAATTAAAAAAAACCTGAGTGATAGTTATTCTTTAAATGGAGGATAACTAACTTTAGCATAGCACCTAAAATACTCAGCAGAGTGCCTGGCACATTGTAAATGCTCAATGATTGTTTGCTTTACTGTTGACATTCTTATTGAGATCGGCCCCTGATAGTGGTAGAGAGGTGTTTAAGATGAAAGAAGGAAAAAAGGAAAGGGGAAAGAAAGGAAAGGAAGGAAGGAGGGAAAGGAAGAAAGGAAGAAAAGGAAGAAAGAAAAGGAAGGAAAGAAAGGAAGGAAAGATGCTTTCTACACACACACACACTTTCTAGTT